GTGAAATGTGTATAAATAAAATTTAAATTATCACAAGGCAGCTTTAGAGTCCGTGGGTCGGAAACGCGGCTAGAGAGTGCCAGCCACGTTGAATCACGACAGGAAGCCAAACACGAAGCCGCTGTGGCCACAGACAATTAATAACTCCTGTGCGCACAAAGGCCGAATTTATGTATATGCGTGCATGAACTTCGTGGCGCGGCGCAATTCCAATGCTTTACTACTTAATTACACGTATGCGATGTAGTTTTCAATTGTAAACTCAAATATGCAAAGGAAAGTTTGATTCCAAGAGAGAAACAACCGGAAAGGTGATGCGAAAGTTGAAAATAATTCTTAATTTGAATCTGCACAGCTTGTAAGAATAATTAATTATTAATTTCTCTCCCACGATTTCTTGTACATCATGTAAATTTAGTAGAAAAAAAACTTTTTATTTTTTCAGCAGGGAACATATATCAATCATACAAATTAATAAGTATAAATAAGCGTAAAAACAATTCATTCTTGATGCACGAAAGTAATTTTTTTAATTGTATTCAAACGATAAATTTTTTTAATTTGAAATTCATACTCAATATTGAATCTTGGAGTAAATTTTCCAGTTGTATTTTATGATAAGAATAATTAAAATTGTATTTAATCAACAAATTTAAATACAAAATTTTAACGACTTGTGTATGTTCTTGATGAAATTTTTTTTTTCAATTTAAGCTACAAATTTCCTCCAATGTGCGGAATTTCAGACCATTTTGAATTAAGATAATAAAATTATATTCATCCCTGTCCCCATATGTTACAAACTGGACTTTCAAGCAAACAAAGGCTGCAGTAAAATGGGTTAAACGCCATAAAGTCGGCGCCGACTCGTGTGGAGCGGTGCAAAATAAATCGCGGTCCAGCGGCGTCACGAGCGAGGAGCGTAATAAAAAAAGTCGCTGCATTCATTTCACCCGGAGCGTGTCACCTGCTGGCCGGAGCACGATATCGAGAGAGGGAATAAAATCGAAATATAAACCTGAGGGTGAATTCAATTAAAGTCAGTTGCAGTGATTGCAAAGCAAATAAAATCAAGAAGCGTCTAACGAGATCCTGCTAAAGGGTCTCTGCTCGTTTATTTTCCACGAGCGGATTGCTCTCCGGTCCATTTCCCATTGTGCTTTATACGAGACTCTGGTGATTCAAAGGCTCGCGAAGAAATGCGACCGCACGTAATAAAAAGAAAGAGAGACCAAACTCGTCTCTGGCTTTTTCCGCCGAGTGAGCCGACGGGATTTATTTGCTCCGCAATATATCGAAGAGAAATCCAAATGTTTGCCCTTCTGTTGGTCAACGAAAGCAACAAGGCTCAATTTATTTGGAAAATTTCATTACGTGACTGGTGGAAAACGTTCTTTAAAAAATGGCAACTGTTTATGTCCAAATTTTAGATAATAAAGTTCCAGGTTATGCCGTATTCAAACGAGGAAAGTCCATTGAAGGTAAATAGGGAATTTTTTTTTTAAATTTTCAGTTAGATCCTAATTTAAATGTTGATTGTTCAAATTTTAGCACTAAATGAAAAAAAATTATAGTAAACAATTGAAAAGAGTCGATTGATTCTTTAAAAAAATCCAATATCATTTGCTTGCAATTCACGATAAATATAATTCAAACAATATTTTTAAATGTTGTAAAACAGTCAAAAGTATAAAGAAGTTACAGTTTTATAAAAAAAAAAGACTAAAAAAAGTCAAAGTATCTAAACAGAGGGTATTTTTTCTCGTAATGAAGTTCATAATGGTCGTTTTAGCCTTGCATATTTTTAATCAAAACTACTTTATTCAACAAAATTAACTTTGGCGTGAAATAATAAAGCGTCGCTGGGGGAAGAAATTTTCATTGCTGGAAGGAAGGACGGTGCTCAATTAATACACCTGCCGTCCTCTATCATACAGGTGTTTACACAAAGGGTGTGGTTTCTCTGTGGGTTTGTTATACTCCACTCCATATTGCACTCGAGACCGGCGGCAATTAATTTCGCCTGCGCCCTGATGGCTCTGTTTTCGCGCTCGGCAGATCCGTCCACGTGAGACTTGGCCCGCCCGCCCGCCCGCCCGCCGGCGGAATAATAAAAAAGGTGAAAAGCACCCCCTCTGCTCTCGATTCCGCGCTTTTAATTTTCGCCCGAGCTTGATATTCCGCCCCGACTGAAAGGCCAAAAGTGCGGCGGCTGGTAATTAATTCAACTCCGCCAGCTCACTGAGTTTCGGCAAAGTTGGTGGAAATTTATAAATGTGTGCAGCTGGCTCAGGGTTTCATTCACAAACACGAGAAGAGGTTCTGCGTGAGCTCTGTTATTTTTTATTTAGCTGCTTCGGCTGTATTATTCTTTGCATTCAAAACATTGCTTGAAAAGGGTAAGACAAAAATTTTGAAGAAAAAAAAAATTAATTTGATTTTATGTCTTCAAAAGTTTAAAAATTTTAGTGCTTCTACTTCTTTAGATGTTTTCTGGAGGATGTTTTTTTTTTTTTAACTTTTTATCTTATATGCGATTGAGAAAAATTGTAGGTGAAAATCAGTAAATAATTCTTCGAGTGCTTTAAAAAAATTTGAAACTGAAATATTTTCTCCTGTTTATGCAGATTTCAAAGTAAAATTAAAAAATATGAAAATGACTTTTTTCTATAACTTTTCAAGTGAAAATATTAAAATTTCAGTCTTTAAAGTCACATTTTTTTTTTTTTTTTTTTTTAAGAGAATGGTTATTTCATTATTAGTGAAAATAAGTGTAACGCGTAACTAATTATAACATTTCTCTTATTACGTCGGCTAAAAAAAAAAATCAGATAAAAACCACTTCAAAGCGCAGTACCGGTTAGGTAAGCTTTTTGTAATTTTTTTGTCGAAGCACATATAAAATTGTGTGTGGTTCTCGCACAACATTTATTCGAAATTAATTGCTCCGCACCGCAACTTCGGCGGCTTAACTCGCGATCAAGGTGTGCGACGAGAGTTTGTGCAGAGTTTGCCGGCGCAGTTGGGAGCAGGAAACTAACTTTCGACGGCTCCGTCAAGCCGCACATGTGCCAAAAGTTATCTCAAGGGATGCAGCGCAGCCCGTCGGCGGCAGGTCGACAACGGGGACCGCCTTTATCTTGGCTCGGCAGATACGAAACACGCTGCCTGCAAAGTGGATAAGTGAAGAGCATCGATCGTCTCGCGCACTTTTGTCTTTTCGTCCGTCCGACGACTCAATTAGCGTGACAGTTGCTCTCCTCTGACTGGCTCAAGAGGGGCGCTTGTCACTAGCAGGTGTTGCACCCAGTCTTAATTGAAACATTTCACTCGATTAAACATCAACGAACTTCAACTTTGATCAAATAAACGTACACGTGACGAGAATTCCTGAAACAAATTATACAAAGATGTTTAATTGGTACAATATAAGAAATTTATTAAATGAATGTAAATTTATTAAGTCAATCAATAATGTTTAGCGTGAAAATATTCTATGTTAAAGAAGTATTTAAATAATAACATCAAAATTGTCTATTTCTTCCAATACTATATTTAGTAAAATAAAAACAAGTGTTTTTTTTATTTACTGTTTTTTTTAAATCCCACAATTTAAATGATCAGACGATAAAGATTATTTTTGGCTCAAAAAATGAAAATTTCAGCTTTTAAATTTATATTCTAGAATTTCTGTGCATCAATTTAAGGTGTCTCTAATAAAACATAAATGTATTCTTAATTTACAAGTTGAATTCCAAAAACAAAGGAACTTCATGCCAAAATTTTACGTATATTTATGCCTAAATCAACTTTTTTTTATTATCAAATTCAAAAGTTTCACCACCGCATAAAAGTTGGGAAGCAACCGAGTCACTTTGGTCAGACTTTTTCCCGGCGGGAAACCAGAAAGTCTTTTTTTTATTTTCTCTTCTGTGCACGGAACCAGAATAAACGTGCCCTCGGTACACACTTTTTGGCGAACGTGTAAGTATTATCGAAAGTGCAAGTTTTGCTCCGTTCCATCTTTCTCTCTTGAAGAAAACCCGCCGCTGCTCGCACTTTATGGTCCTATCCCAACGGAATGGAACTTTCAGATCAGAATGGAAACGTACGTGACAGTCGAGAAAGACGTTCGGAGGGAAATTGATGATTCTTGCCAGTTTGAATTAGATTCGGCGCGCCTTTTGGGACTTGCATACTCTTTAGAGTTATGCGTGTGGATGGATGTAGGAGCTTTTCAATTTGGGAAATGAGACGTGCAGTGGGATTTTCCACCTGAAGTGCGGTTTATTCATACATGCGTGGACGAGCCCAATTTTTCTTCCGTCTCTCGGGATTAAGTGAGAAAAGAAAACACCACGAAAGTCGTGAGATTTCGACGCTTCATCAAAATGGACATTTTTTGCAAAATAAAATTGGGGTAAATTTTGCAATCAATAATTTTGTTTATAATTTAAACGAGGAACTTAGGAATAAAGTTGATCGATACAACTGACAATTAGGATAAAAAATTGAAAATTGAATTTTTATATGCAAAATTTTTCATCATAATTATAGTTGAAAAAATTGATTACAGATTTTTATTCATTATTTAAAAACAGTTTACAATATTTATAAAAAGTTTCTTATAATATCGCAGTGTGTTAACAGCTTACATAAATTTTGTAGCTTGATTAAGATAAAATCCCGGGTGCAGGTTAGGAGGGGCTAAGATGTCCTTTGAATTTGAAGTAATTGATTTTGCTCGTTGTTTTCCAATATGAACATCTTAATTAAAAGTTAGACATTGAGAAGTGTTTGGATGTTTGCAATTCTAAAAGCAAAAATCACAGTTCTAGTTTCATATGAAAAATTGTATTTCCTTTGAAATTATTTACTTCTTTTCCCTCTCTCTTTGAACGTCAGAAGGAGAGAGAAGCAAAAAGGGTTCAAAGCGAAATCCGAGCAGTCAATCGCAGAGAGAAGTTGTCTAATCCCCTGTGGCCCTTTTTCTGTTGCAGTCCCCGGAGGAAAACAAAGCTCTGCGTCTGAAGGAACCGTCGGCGATCGCGGCCGAGGAGGCGAACGTGGTCGGGGGCAGCAGCAGCGACCTGCAGTCGCTGGGGCGCGCCCTGCCCGCCGTGTCGCCGGGGGTGGCGCACTCGACGGCCGTGTCGCCGCCGCTGGACCATCGGCTGACGTGGAAGTACTTTGACGAGCGCGGCTACGTGGAGCGCGGGCGGCTGCACGTGGGCGAGGACCCGTACCACCGGAACAAGTTCAACCAGGCCGAGAGTGACCGGCTGCCCAGCAACAGGGACATCCCCGACACCAGGCACCAGACGTGAGTAGCCCTCTTAAGAGATGATTTCCTTTTTTTTAATTCACCCCGGGGAGCGCGCCCCGAGAGAGCGCCGGAAATTCGCTCTTGCGTGAGTTTTCGGCCGAGGAAATTGGCTCAAAGCGCAGTTCGTCGGCGCGTGAAATCGTTTGTAATGCACCAAGCTTTGTGCTGCGTAATTACTTATCGAGGTATACATATAGGTATGCGTGTTGGATGAAAATCTCCGTTTCGTTTGTGCCGATAATGAGATTGTATTGATTCGGGAGAAAAATTGAAAGAAAAAGCTGAATGTACATTTTTGTAGACTATTGAAAAAAAGTCAAATTTTCTTAAACGAGTTACAAATTTAAAAACTAATATTAGTAAAAATCTACTCTAAGTAAAAAAGATTTAAAATTTTATACAATATTTTATTTTAATTACGAAACAGCCGTTTTATCATCACATAATTATTTGTATTTAATTTAATGAAAATAAATTGACAAGATTCGCAGTGATACATTGTCACGAAAAAAGAAATAAGATAACGTACTTTACTCCTGATAAATAAATATTTTAGATAGTTCATAAAAAAAAATACATTTCCCAGTACCATCTAAGTCTTAAATATTAACTTAGTTTATTATTTGACATATATATTTTAATTAAATATTTTTTAATTCTGTTTAAATTATATTAGGATTTAAAAATTTTTGTTGTGGACATGAAAAAAATTGTGAGCTTTTTTCAAACTGTTAAAAATGATCATAGTAATATTAATTATCAAAGAGAAATTACTTGAAAAATATGTATTTATATTTTATTTGGAAACCTTCTGAAGTGTACACCTCTTAAGGTACTGACAAAATGCTGATGAGCACAGTTGAGCATGCTTAAAGTCTTTTTCATTAATTACTCAATTCACAAAAGATTACATTGTCAATCATCACTAACTTACTCATAATTTTATCGCAAGAGTTCTTTAAATATGAATAAGTAATTAATCACGAAAATTAAATTAATCACGATTTCATATGCCTGCACCCAATGTGCTTTTTAGCGAAATCCTCTCCCAACGCTCCCAACTTATTCAACACGTCGGCTTCTTTGCCATCGGAAGAGTTCGCTCGTCCGCACACCCTCTATGCGCGTTTGCTTGTTTTAAGTGCTAATTTATTAGCTCTGGAGGGGGTCCTTGTCCTGCCGACCGAGCCGCGTTTCCTGTTTGCCCTTCAAGCGGTGTTCCGTGGGTAAAGGGAGGAACCGGGCTCCATTTCACAGTTCCAGGCTTTAAGTGCCCACCGCAGGTCCAGTCCTGCAAGTACTGCCTCATGATTCGTGTATAAATTTAATTATATTAATATTATTATTATTTTTTTTTTTTAATAAACAAAAATGCTATTTTAAAGGCTTTGATGGCTAATGTATGTTATAGTCTTAAAATCGTATTTAATAAGTTTTTGTCTAGAAAATAGATTGTAAACGATAAAAGTTATCTACATTTTATAGATTTTGAAGTATTTTTACCACTCAATACTGTTTTGACCTTGGGTATTATTTTAATTGCAAAATATTCTAAAATAGGTAAAAGCCATTTTTTTTTCTTTTTACTTTGATCTACATCTCATTTTGAAAATCCTTCTTTGCGAATCATGTCATTCTTATTAAAATGTGTGATAATGTAATATATTTTTCTTTTTTGGAATATTTAATGATAATAGTCTCTTTTCTATAGTTTGTTTTAAACTTATTAATTTTTAATTCATTCGTCCAGGGATATTTCTACTAAAATCTTTCAAAAGAGTTGCCATTTTGAAAGTCTACAAATGCTAATTCTGTGATGCAAGAGATAGCGATCAAAATGAGGCAAAACAACAGTCAATTATTAATTTCGTAGCTGGTGAATGTCCAAACGAAAACGAGACACAATTTCTCCCATCAGCACGTCAGAGGAAGATGATTCTTCTGTCTATATTATCGACAGGCGAGGATAAATATTACGCCTGCCAACAACGGCTAAATCATCTTCGACCGCGTGCGAGAGCCATTTAATCAAAAACTCCTGCGCCTGATGCAACCGCGAGAATTACAATATTAGCCTAATAATAATGGCTATACTTTCTCCACAAAAGTCCGGTTTTGTGGATGGCCACGCAGAAATTCCAAACAAGGAAATCGAATTGCTTTCGGGATCGTGAATAAATTGAAATGCAGAGAAAGTGAATCAACGCGCGCATCCTTGACGTAACCCCAGTTTTATTAGAGGCATCGCGGGCCAGAGGTGAAGCCAAAGTGGCAATTAACATTTCGGTCTCCTGCGTGCTTTTGCTTTCCATGGTTGTTTTTCGTTCCCACCCGATCCGCCTCGCAGCTGGAGAATGGAGGCTAATAACGTTTTGATCTCCTTCTTTGATGCTAAATCTCTTCGGGTGCTTCCCAGGCTTAACGGCTGTTTTACGACTTTGTTTGAAAAGCGAGTTGATTGATTTGTCATAGCGACTGTTTATGATTTTGTTAATTCTCCTGTAACATCAAAACAGTCATAAAAAAAACGATCTCATACATGGGAAGATGTGAATTTTAATTGCACCTTGTAACGTGTTGCATCCTTTAAATATAATTTCTAATTCAGTCTGGAAAGAAGAGGGAGAAAAAAAAATTATAAATATGTATAAGATTTTTTCGTAATGGTTTTCATTCAGACCAAATAATTATTACATAAGTCTTCAAAGGGCTTCCTGGTGCAAAAAGACACTTGCTAAAAATCCACTTGCCTGAATAAACCGCGCACGCTGAACAAACCAAAACTCCACTTTGCTACCGTTTGTGCATGTTTGCCCTTTTTACTAACTTGCCCAACTCTGAGGAGCCTCTTAATTCTTTAAACAAACAAGACGTTAACTTTTCACCAAAGATTAATATTTAACCAGTTGAGCTCGCTTTTGGTCCTCGTCAAATCTCTCTCAACTCTTACATGGTGTGCGTATCATAACAAAAAGCTGCAAAGTGCTCCCGCAGAGTGGCGTTTTAATTAAACGTCAGAAAAGTTCAAAAGGCGAAATTGATCCGTCTCCCTTTTTTTATATAAATTCTGGATTAAATTTCGCAACTCGCACGACGAATGAAAGATGTCTCCGTTTTTTTGTTTTGTTTGCATTCATAAATCACAAACGGCAGCAGTTTTATGAATGTATTTTCGTGTACAGAGAACCGTCTGTCTTTTATTGCTATTGGGGGTGCTAAAGAAAATTTATTGTTTCGTATCGAGCACCTCTTTCTTTTTTCCTCTCTCTCGCTCCGACTGCCTTTGTATTTATTTGTTCTGAGAGTAAAGCAATTGGATCGAGAGTGCATTAACCACTCTCTGCACCGTTCAATTTGATCGTATTGAAATGGTTGACGGTCAAATAGCGGGCAGCTAGCTCGGAAAGTGGACACCGCCGCGGGCCGAGAAAGTGGTTTCGCGTCACACTGCACTGATGATACCACAAGAGTGTTCGGAATAACAACCATTTGATTTATATTTTCGCCGCCGCACTGACCATCACCAAAAGTGACGAGCCAAATCGTCCGTTGAATTTAGGTCATGCTTTGAATGTCAGGTTATAATAAATTAATTATAATTAACCAAAGCAAGTTCAAAAAAAGCATAGAAAATACTTCTTGCAATTTTTGTTTGAAATATGCAAATTTTTTTCAAATCTTTATTAAGAAACAAATGTTTCTCCTAATGAATTAAGAATTATTATCTAAAGAAGATATTATTGACATAGAAAATGAAGTTCATAATCAAGATACAATGAAATTTTGTCTGAACATATTATTTCAGTTATTATCAGAATTTGATTTTTTTTATGTTAATTAACTTAGTATTGATACTATTAATTTAATTTCAAGAACAATTTTACGTAAGATGGAATAAAATACCTGGAACTGGATAATGTTTTTTTGTGATGGGACTTAAAATACTGTATAATTTAAATTGCAATTTTATTAATTCTTTTATAAATAAATCCAAATAAAAAGGTAAAGAAACTCGTAAAAATATTTATATTTTAAATAATATTAAACAATTTTGTGGTTGAACTTTTTTAGATTAAATTATTGCTCACGTTTAGGCATTGACAGTAATTTTGAAGTAAGAAATATTCGGTAATATGCAATTTTTTAAAACAATTTTAAAAAGAAATTGGTTCTCAATTATTTTACCATCACCCGAATACAAAAGTAAAAGAAGTTAAAATTATTCACTAATGTTCATCGATTTTCTCAATTGAATAAATGCAGTCAGTGATTTCAATTAATTATTCAATCTATTCAATTAGAAAGCAAACATTAAGCAACGTGCTTTCCTCTCCTTTGTCTGGCAAGTCTCTGGGCAAAATCAATTTGGCTTTTGATTCGATCGCGTCCTCTCATCAAGTTTTCATTACTCCATCAGCGCGCTCACAAAGCCGCTCTTTTGGTCGCGAAAATTCGCAAACGCTTTGAGCATCGTCGAGTCGTCGCTCCTCGGCAGTAACAAATGATGGAATGGTGCCATTTGAGACCCATTTTCTGCCACAAATTCGGCACAACACCCAGCCATGCAATGTTAATGCGCTATTTTATTTATGTTAATGGAGGCTCGAGTTGTTCGTTGCCATAGCTACAGCAGTCTCGTCTTGTTGGCCGCTGTATTAGTTTATTACGAGAGACTCGACGGAGCCCGAGTTGATTGCCTTTTGTTATTTCGGGCCAACCCGCAAACACTCACTGCACTAAAAGGGGAAAGAGTGCGAGGAGAGAAGAGTGATCTACTGGTGAAAAGGGCGCTAACTAACTTGGCCGTCGTTGCACGAGTCATGCAAAAGAAAGGGAAAATTACGACTTTTTAATGTTAAGGAAACAAAAGTGGACAAGAAATTAGTGGCTTCAAAATAATTGCCTCTTCAAGTGGAAAGTGTTCTTTTTTGCTGCTTTGAAATTGTAGTTCCAGTTTATAAAAATGTATAAATTTGAATATGTAGATGAAGGAAATA